GTAAATTGAACATACAATTTATGTTTGGAGTATATTAGATTTATATAAATCTTATTGGCCAGATTAACTGAAAAGTAAGCAATAAAGTATAGGCAATATAGGTTGGTCTTTTAGTGTACATACTCAACATGGAAAGATGAGGAAATACCAATTTACATAAAGCAAACAAAATTTGAATAATCGGTCTGCATTTACACCTCTAAAACCTTGGGATATATATAATTTGTAGTTAAGTGGTATTGTAATTTTGTAGGGTATAATTGCATGTAACTCAGTGTACCTCAAACTCTGTGTGTATCATAAGGGTGACCTGAATATCCTTATTTTTCTGATTTTATCACCTGTGTACTGGAATAACAGACTTGTGCAATGGCCAGTATGTCTATTTCTGTGATTAAGCTGAGCGTGCTAGACAGAGAACTTCGGAATAAATTTCCTCTTCAGCAATGTTAATTTCAGCTGTGTGAAATTAGGTAACTGGGCAGATGATGGAGTTCTGCCTGTGGATCATTTGCCTCATGCTGAGAACCAGGCTCGTGTAAGGTTTCTCAGAGGCCATAATGAAAGGAGAAGGAAACATGAGTTCTCTGTGCTTGTCCAGTAGCAGACTTGGCTGGACTAGGGCTGGAGCCTGATCCTTGAAGAAGTTAAGGTTGTAGGTTTTTTTGTTTGTTTGTTTGTTTTTATCAGATTCTTTCTCCTGGGCTGAGTTTGCCAGTCCTAAAACAGCTAGATCTGGGACATCTTGCATTCTCTTTGCCAGTGTTGTTTGATTTACCTCTCTGCTGACCTTTGCCATTAAGCCATGCAAATAGCATTAAAAAAAAAAAAACAATGCTGTTTAAGATACATGCTTGTCATGAGTTGTCAGCTTATGTAAGACTCTCAGTCTCAGTTATGTGTCTTCTTTACTTCTTGTCTCCGGTCCTCACCCTCCACATCTCACAATCTTCACATTTGGGACCCTATTTCCTGCAGATTAAGGTGAAGTTTTGCCCAACATGGGACTCAAGTATAGGAAATAAACAAGCATGAGCACTGCCACAATGAATATATAAAGAGTCTGATCAGGGACTGTTTATAAAAAAGAAAGGGTAACAGAACCTGTTAGAGTTTCTAACGAGCACTTTCTTTTCCTTCATAGGCTTCCTTTATCTGCATTCATGTTCTAGCTAATGCTTGTAAAGCATTTAGAAAAGTTACTTATATTCATTAAAAAAATTATCTCCTTGGTTTCCTGAAGAAAGTTCTGCAAGTTTAAATGTGTAGGTGAATGGTTAAAAATACAACACCACCTATGACGGCCAAGAAAGTTTCCTATTGATGGATTCATGATGAAACAATACCCAGTCCTTCCTTCCTTCCTTCCTTCCTTCCTTCCTTTCTTTCTTTCTTTCTTTCTTTCTTTCTTTCTTTCTTTCTTTCTTTCCTTCCTTCCTTCCTTCCTTCTTTCTTTCTTTCTTTCCTTCCTTCCTTCCTTCCTTCTTTCTTTTTTTCTTTCTTTCTTTCTTCCTTCCTTCCTTCCTTTCTCTCTCTCTTTCTTTCCTTCCTTCTTTATTTTTCTTCTGTTTTTCTTGCATTCTTTTACTTTGTCTTTCTCCTTCCTTCCTTCACTTCCCCTTCCTTTCTTCCTCCATCCCTCCCTTCCTCTTCTTTTCTTTCTTTCTTTCTTTCTTTCTTTCTTTCTTTCTTTCTTTCTTTCTACATTTCTCATTCTCAGTCCTCCCCATCAACACCTCACCATTCAAGACCCTCATTCCTTGGATTAGAATCAGTCTAAAATATGCAAAGCCTTGGATTTGATACCCAACTCCCTATAATTAACCCCATATTTAAGATATTGTTGTAAACACAAGTGATGAGTAAGCACGTACAGGAAACCATGGCCATCATCGATGCAGCAAGCTTGTGGCCAGTCTTCACTACAGCAGATACTTCTTGAAACAAAACCCAAAACAAAAGAAAACATAATGCAAAAAAGTGTATTTCGTAGGAAATAAATTTAATATGTCATCTGAAAAATGAAGGGAAAATGATTGCTTATTTTCAATTTCATGAGAGTATGGAATTATTAGTAATTTAAGCAAAAAAATTAGTTTGGAAGATTTATGACATGATTGATAGGACTCAAGTTTTTGGAAAAGGAAATTTACTAGCAGTAAAAGCTTCACACTGACACTGTTGTTGGTCTCATGGGTGTGAATGTAGGGATGACAGTCCAGGAGCCCTTCCCTTTAGAAATCATCCACAAAGGCTCTATATAAATTCACAGGTCTGATTATATATGTATGTGCATGTTTGTATATATGCATACATTTATATAAAAATACACAAAAACTTTATATCTATGTGTATATATGTATATATGCATATATACATGCATGTATATATATATTCCTCTCACCACAATCTAATTTTTGCCTTTTTATGAAGTTGTCATATAACACTTTTTTGAATATCAATTCTGCTTCTGTTTCAAAGCACAAAATTCACTTAATGGTTAAATATCAGAAGTTGACAGACAACATCATCCCATCTACCATAATCCCACACCTCAGCATCCTGAATAAGGTTCTACTTTGAAGTGAAAAGGAGTAAAACCTTTTTGTTTGAGCTCTCAGTGCACCCTACTTACACACATAAGAAATCATAAGTGACAAAAACACTGCTAGAGACTTAAAAATAATAACAGGATATGTAATGGTTATATTGAGGATTCAGTTATCTGCATATTCCTCATAAGTAACTGTGTGCCTTTTTATAAGCATGCACTAGAGCTACTCAGCAGGAAGGGAAAATGTTAGTATTCAACTCTGATGTGACTACTGCACTAAAGTTGCTGAGATGCCGCCCAAGATCCTTGATATGTATTTCTTCAAACGCTGAATCAGAGAAACTGTAATTTTCTGGAATCTGTACTGAAAATGCTTAAATCTGATGCTTCCAAATTCTATATTTTCAGGTTTTTAGCATCTGGTAATACTGTGTTAACATTTAAGACAGACATCTGACACAAAATTCAGGTCCCCCAAAAAAACATGTCTAATCTTGCCCAGGATAAATGGTCAAAGATCAGTATGTAGCACCAACTATTCTGAAAGCTGAAAAATGTAGCTTCCAATGACCATATACACTGATGAACTGACATAATCTCATGACATTCATGAAATAGTCACAGACATAAGAACTAAATTAGGGAATACAAGCATAACTCACCTTCCTATATTTAAGCATCGTCCCAACAAAAGGCAGAGGTTTGGGGCCAGGAATCCCTAACTTCTTAAAAAGTCCATGTGAAGAGGTTCCATACCTAAAATATAGAGGAAGAAACCAGGTCATGAGCTTGTTAACACACATATATATTCACATATGTACACACATTAACCATGAATATATATAAATGAGACATATGTGAATAAGTGTATTTATGCTTCTGAATGAGTGAATATGTATATTCATTGCATGTGCATAATATTAAATCTTATTTAATATTATGTAATGCATAATATTAAATCATTGTACCACATGCATAAATATACATATTCAATCATTCAGAAACATCAATACACTTATTCACATATGTACTCATTTATGTATATTATTTTGTAGTATATCAGTATGTACTGATTTCTTTCCCCTTGGGTACAACTATTAACAACTACAAAAGTCTATCTACTGAGGGAGAATTTAACATGAAAATGTGGTACAATAATCCTGTTAACACACAATTTATTATAAACCTTTAGGTTAACTCTTAAAGGCCCCAGTCCTAGAGTTAATATGTAATAAAACTTTCTAACCTTAAATTTGAATGTTACTGAGGGGATCACCAGAGTTAGCATGTAAACCAAAATCATCAGTGTGGGTACCACAATGCAAGATTCACATGATTCCTTCTCAACATTATGTGAACAGTCAGTAGTGAGGGTGCTCAGTGGTGAAGGGCAGTCCACCAGCATCGTCGCTTGACAAGACTCTAATTTGTTCTGTCGCTCATAATGAAAATTGTGCAGTTTCCCAGATGCAGCTTTTAGCCTAGAATTATGGCTATGCAGCTAAGAGCAATTGCTGCTCTTGAAGGAGACAGAGGTTCAGATACCAGCAGCCACATGACAGCTCACAACTGTCTATAATTCCAGGGCCTTGGAAATCCAATGTATTATTTTTAACCTCAATGGGCATCTGAAATGCAGGTGGTACATATATGTACATGCAGGCACAATTGTCATATGCACAAAATAAAAATAAATATATTTTTAAAGATATAGAGTTTGAGTCATCTTCTGTTTAAGAATAAAATATTGATTGATACTGCAGCTTTCTTTCAGGCATTCTTGCTCTGGCAATAAAGATCTCAAACAAATTCATGTAATAACCACATAAACTCATATTTCTGCAAGGTGGACTTTAGACAAATGTCTACCTTGGTCTTTCAGTGGTACCTTACTGAGGTGAAATATTGTTTCCAGGAAAGTTTGAACAGCACTATGCTGTGCCCCAGTGAAGTGACTAATGACTAATTCTATCCCGTTTCTTCATACATAGCACAATGCCAGCTTTCTGTACTAAGATGATCACACACAAGACATTTAGGTATTAGATGTTGTCTTTAATCCAACAATATCTGTGACAATACTCTCAGAGAAGGCAGGCCTGAGTCTAAGAAATAATTAATAGCTCATATGTAGATTACTACATTGTGGGTTCTAGATCCTGCAAATCCTCCTATTCTGTTGTGACAAACTAATGACAAACAAATGGCAGGAAACAATCCTGTAGAAACAGCTCAGTCTAACCATTTTAAGCCTACTGGAACTTTAACGGTAGTTGAGAACTTTTGACTGAAAAGCACAGTGAGATACATGGTTTAGTTTACAGCCAAAATGCGTTCAGCTGTGGCAGTATTAATTTCCACTGGATTATATCTTCTGGTTTTTAGATAGGTCTGAGAATCATTCCAACTCTAGGACCACAAAGGAGAGGCATCAGCCCTTACTCACAGGTAGAGGAGCACCAGGATGGTAGCCAGCAGTGCCCATGTTTCCATGGAAAGGCTTAGAATCAGGTCCATTGCTCTTTTCTTCCAAGAAATCTGCTCTCTGACTTTTCCTTATAGGTGAGGACTTTAGTTCTCCTTCTGAGACCAGGGGTGAAACTCTGAAGCTAAGCCACAGTATTTATGTTTGAGGAAGGGGGTGGAGCAGTTGATACTGGCAGTAGAAAGACCAAGTGTGTATCTATCATGGTTATGGAGAATATGAGTGTCCTCTTCACTTGGCAGTTCTCAATAGTGCATGCTAACCCACATTTTGAATTCTTCACTGTTCTTTTCTCTAGGAAATTAATAGTTAAACCAATGCTCTCAGTGAGACCAGAGGTCATAGATGTTTATCAAAATTGAGACAATGGGGATTGGGAACTCACCAAGGCCAGCTGGCCTGGGTCTGAAAAAGCCTGGGTCAAAACTGGTCTCTCTGAACATAGCGGACAATGAGGACTACTGAGACCTCAAGAACAATGGCAACGGGTTTTTGATTCTACTGGACCTATTGGTTTCGTGGGAGCCTAGGCAGTTTCGTGGATGCTCACCTTACTAGACCTGGATGGAGGTGGGTGGTCCTTGGACTTCCCACAGGGCAGAGAACCCTGATTGCTTTTTGGGCTGAT